AGGGGCTCCTTCCCTTGCCACAAAGTCTGTCTCCATTTCCAGAACTGCTGGACACAAATGCCAAGCCTGATCCCATCCTGCCTGATCTGTGGAGCTCCAGTGGAATAAGGAGATGCTGAGCCCTTGGATGTGCTGAGGACCTGCCTCATCACTTATGCTCATCAGCACAGAGCCAGCTGCTCCAGTTCCTGCTCTGAAGAGGGAAGGGAGCTGGGAATTCATGGAATCCAGGCACCATGACTTCAATCCTTTCATGACTTCTTCATGCCTGGCTCCACAAGCTTAGCATTCTTTTACCTTAGGAAATACCTAAGAAACTGCTAAATTAAACTGGAGATGGAAAAGGGGGACACTTTTGCTTACACACTTCATCTGGAGGGTGAGACCAGGGAGATTTATCACTGAGATCTTTGCAGCCTGAGCGCTGGGGCAACTTTCAATAACAGCAGATTACATCACTTACCAGGATTTTGCTTAGGCACTGTAGAACTGCTCAGAAACACTTTAATAGCATTTAACTTCATGCTGAAAATGCTGATTTATTGCACTCCAGTGTGAATAGGCATGTCTAAGGACAGAGCACACTACTTTTTCAGATGTCAGCAACTGTGGGGTTTCGTTAACATCGTTCAAGTGATTAAACGTCTTTGAACTAAAAGGCTTTAAGACTTTTAAGTCAAAACTGAATTAATTTATACTAAAAAGTACAGCTTGGGAAAGGTCCAAATAAAAATGAAGTATTTTCAGATTCACCATAATAAGACACTTTGATTAACCTCTATTTTTTGTGCCATTGCACGTATATTTTACCACAGCACATGTGAAAAAAGGCTGGAATTTTGAGTAACTCACCAGAACTGAGTTTCTATTTAGCTCCAAGACTAGGGATCTGGCCTCATGAATCACACAGAGCAAAAAGCATTGTCCAGAATTCAGAATTAAAGTTTGCTATACATAAACCTTGTGACATTTTTATTACAGCATACCAGTCTGGAATCTGCATTTAAAACACTGACTGCTCAAAGGAATCTAAATCTCTTTAGCTAAAGGTAATAAAATGAGGTCAAAAATTCACTACTCAACAATCTACCATTAGCATTTCTACTCAGAAAAAATGTAGTTCATCTATTTTTAAAGAAAGTAAAAGCAGGGCATATAACAGAAGTTTGGAAAGTATAATGATGTTCTTGTGTATGGAAGTCCATTAGGAAACAGGCTTCATTTCCTCATCAAGGAAAAAAAAAAATCATCTGCATCATGATTTTTTTCACAGTACACACAGTACCTGTGTAAGCCAGAAGTGGGACTGCATTTCTGTTTACACAACCCATGGTTTCAGCCTGGCCTCCATCACCAACTAAATCACAACAGCAGAGAGCGCAGAGGGTCTGAGCTGGATCCTGGCTGGGATCAGCTCTTTCCACTCCTGAGGAGCTCTGTGCTCCCACGCACGTTCCACTGACAGTGACACAAAAGTGGCCAAACTCACCTGGGACACACCTGCTGGTGCTGACTCAGTGCTACTGAGAATAAAGCAGCCTGGTGCTGGCCATAAAAGAAAAGGAGTTTTGTTTGCAGTTATCAACGTGGCAACATATTTTTTAAAATTTCATTTGTTTGGATTCTTAATGGCGGAAACAGAACTTAATTTCTGCTGCAGTATCCTTTAAAATAAATGCTTGATCTCTTTCCACCCACTATTGCAGCTGATGGGCACAAAGTAAAAAGAACAGCAATTCATTCACCTTATCACTGGAGCACCAGAGGAAGAGAGGGATCCTTAGTGCAATGATTAATGACTCACTATAAAAAGATGCATCATAAACTGCTTGTATTAGGTTAAATCATAAACTAGGCTTTTAATGTTTATATGATCCCTTTCTAAATAATTAAGTGTGTCTGTAGCTCCCACTAGGAATGGAACTCACATGATGCTTGCAAAGCATGCAGTTTCTTACAGGGTCAGAATTTGGGACCCTCACTTAAAGGGATCCCTGTCTGCCTCCACATTCAAGCACAGCTTGACTTTCTTTTCCTACTGGGACTTCTTCCTGTACTTACTACAGGTCAGGGAGACCATTTGATGTTCAGGAGCAGCAAAGATGATCTACCCTGAATTTAGAGTGACTTCTTCAGCCTGTGCTCATGAAGGGCAGCTCATCCACAGAGGACGCAGCCAAGACTGGATGCTGTAATTTCCTGTGTTTAGGTGCTAATAATAACTCCCATCAGCTTCAGTAGCTGGTTGGAGATCAGTGAGAGAATAGCACCATTTGTCCTAACAGTCCCCCAATTTATCCACCTTTTGGTGATACTGCCACCTTTGAAAAATACAGTACGAGGTGACATTGTGTAAGGGTCCATCCATTTCCTTACTATCACAAGCCTGCAAATGTGTCCATCTCCCTTTTATTTCCCAGAACAGCTGGTGCTTTTTCTCAACCAAACCAGAATCTCCCCCTCTTGGCAAACAGACATTGGCTTCAGTGTGAAGTCACCCCATCAGGAGAATGTTGCAGCTCTAACCACCATTATTTACTCAAAAAATAATAGGAGTTTAAAAAAGAGCTGCAGAGCCCTAAATACTTTAAATAGACATAGCAGGCAGCCCCAGTCTGTTGCTGCCCTGCTTATTCATATTCAATACAGAAAATCACTTAGGTTAATGATTTAAATATTTCCATCTATGGAATTTAGAAAAGGGCAAAGCCAACAGTGGAATACCCAAGATCAGGATTTTTTAATAAACAATAGATTTCATGAGAATTAGCTGGGTTATCAAACAGTATCCTCCCAAATCAGTTCATTAGTTTCACTGAGTTTCCCTATTTCACTTTATTAAAACAATTTAAACAAGGGTTCACTAGATGCAATGTAATCTATTTCAGACACTCCAAGCCTAATCCCTTTTCTCTTAGCAGTTACATGATAATAGTTTTCAAAAAAGTTGAAAAGGATTATTGTTACAGCTATTTCAAATAGGGACTGTTTTCGGCCAAGCATGGGTCACTTTCTCTACATCTTTTTATTATTATATTAATTTTTGTTCTTTACTTATTCATTCATGTATTCCTTCTTTTTTCTGTCTTTCATTGCTTCACACAAGCAGTCACACATGGTCAACAGATCCCTCTGGCAGGTGGAGGGGAGGCACCAAATATCCCTGCATGGGTCACTGCACCAGGCCTTAGAAAAAGTGATTTTTTTGCAATTTACTTGAAGGTTCTGGAGTTAAAAAAAACCCCAACTTGGTAAATTCACAGTGGTTTTATAAATAGACTAGAGAGAAGGGAGAAGGTTCCTGTGCATTTTCACACTGTTAGTTTCTGACAGCTCTGAAAGACTCACAGGAGGAGATCACACATAGGATTTGCAAATGAGGAGGCAGACACTGTATATTACTTACCAGGCTGGAAACACAGAGTAACAGACCTGTGCTATGGACACACAGCTTATTTCACAACAAACTCATACTCATACTCTTGTATTTTCATAAAGCCATTCCAAACAGTAGGGTTAGCATTTCTTATAGGGCAAAAAAAGCCCCCAACCAAAATAAAACCCAAAGAAAAAGAGCTGGTTTCTAGATCCAAGCTTTCTGCAGGCTTTAACAGGTCCCCTATCCCTGAAAACCCATCCTCACTCACCTCAAATCCTTGTCTCTTCAAGCAAGTGCCATTTCATAATCCTATTAAAACCTTTGCCTCTGTTTACCAGGAGCTCTAATCGTACTCAGCAAGTTCTCCTGGCCTAAGGAAGAGCGACAGCTTTCAGATTTCTTAGGAGGCTTATTCATCAACCACGCCAGAGTTTTGCCAGAGTGTTCAATCTATTCTGGGAGCAGCCATGTGGAAAAAGCTTCAAACAGCTCAAAGCCCTGCACAATGATAAAGGAAAGCTCACACAATCCTGGTAATAGCCTGACCCTCTTAAGGAAAATTGGATGATTTGTGGTAGCAGTTTTTCTGTCCCCTATGTGAATTCTGAACTTTAAAGTGTAAGCAGTGTATTCACACAGTCCCATTACAAACCCCGTCCCTCTTGCAATGCTGGAATAACAAATACACACCCATATGTGAAAATAAACTCTTGCTGCAGTGACCTTCCTCCTCAGTCCAATGGTGTGAAGGAGTTTGTAGCCATTTTAGAAAAAAAGAAGAGCCAGATAAAAAATGGACTAATTTGATGTTCAATGTTTCACCACGAGCAGAATATATGCTTTAATGAGCACATTACATGCACCAGGGACATGTTACTGGGAAGCAGGGGATAAAGAGTAAAGGGAAAATAATTAAACAGTCAGCTCTATAATGGGGAAACTCTGTTCATGCAACACTAAGTGGCCTAATTTTCAAATGCTAAGGAAAGACATGTTCCTTGGGCTCCAGGAAGACTTGCTGGCAAGTACCACCTTGAAACCAAGGGCAAGGGATCACAAGTATCAAATCTCCTTTAGGTCCAGGCCACAGGGACTGGTATTCCAAAGTCATCTGTCCACACTTCACACTGACCTGTCCAACAGGACTGAATACCTGCACCCTGTATTCTTATTCTACAAGGAGGATCCTTAGAGTTGTAAAATATCCCAGGATTCATAATGTGTGTATGATGAACACTACAACTGACTTCTACCAGCCTGGCCTCAGTTTTCTGTAGGTGTTGCATCTGTAGAGCACAAACGTACAACCTCAGCTAAGGGCAATGAGCACATGGAGACTTAGAGTGGCTGTTTGCACCAGGAAAGATACTGGGAAAGGGGAAAACCTTTCTCTTTGGGCTCAGACACTGACAGGATAAACCAATAAAGCATATTCCTGACTCTTATCAGTGCTCTCAAGGCCCAAAAGGCCAGGAGCATTCATTTCCTGGCACTGTCACTTCCAGATAGTGCCGCAGCATCAACTACTCCAGCATAACAACCCATCAGTCAGACAGCAGCTCTGCTGGGCCACAAGCTCCCCAGCACTCTTTGCACATGCACAAGGCTCTCTGTTACTCACTCTCATGCCTAACTCGATGTTTTCTCCTCCATAGACCTCCATGCCAGGGTCCAGCAGGCCAATCTCACCAAAATACTCTCGGTCCACCACAAACGAGCATCCAATCATGGCTGGTGTCCTGCACAGAGAGATCAAAGCAAAAAAATTAAGCCATTCATTAGCTATTACAAACTCCAGCTCATAACAAATGTACACAGATTAAAGAGTTCTTAGTCTTCAAGTTTACATTCTAAATTTACCTATTAGCATCAATCACATGGCACTTCATATATGCAAGAAATTCCAGTACTTCTCTATTTGGTGCTGTAATTTCTGAAGATTTTCTGTTGAATCATTCTCTAGTTAGAGGTGGTCTCAAAGCTCTACAAAAACCACACAGGATCCTGGATAGTCCTGGCTGGGCACTTCCATCGTCAGCTGATGCATGTATTTGTCCACCAGGATATTTGCATTTATAAATCAAGTTATTTGATAAAATGCATCTTCCTGATTATATTTCCCAGAGCCAAGCCTGGAAACAGATTTGCCTAAAAAAGCTGAGAGCTCTCCTGTACTCAGAATGAGACATATCCTATATACATCTTGATTTCACATCTTGTACCACTGAAAAGCAAATCTTAGGCTAACAAGGAATAAATTTGATCTTGGAACTAAAATGAAAGAAGGACACAACCAAGGTAAGGAAATTCAGTACCTCTGCAATGAAATAAGCCTTGGAGGGAATATTTCAGGTGTATTTTTAAAGTTTTACCCATGATAAGAGAAGGAGATTGGGGGGGGGAAACACACACCACTTTCTTAGTTTTCTTTTTCATTTATTCAAAACTAAACACAGGCTTCACTGGATCAAGTCATCACTGCTTTACAAAACTAAGATACCAGTTTGGGCTTAGACTCATTCTTTTTCCAGCCCTGTCTCCCCCACAGGAATCCTCTGGAGGCAGTTCCTTACAGCAGTAGGATGCTCCCATGAGGACATCTCCTCCCTTTCTAATGAGGAATGGCACTGCCAGGCTTTGCAGACTGCTCTCAGGTGCTGGAATCTCTCTCTCTGGGGGATGGATTGCTGCAGCTGTAGGCTCTGTCCATTAAGACCCGGAGTTGTTAATTGAACGGGGGTGGGAAATACATTTCAGATGCAACTACTACAATAATCATCACTCACAAACGAATGCCACTGAGGACTGTCTTTGCAACTCTATCTCTCCCTTCTAGGGTTTATTTCTTCTCATTATATATATTCAAATATAGACTTCACAAGCTTTCACAGCTTTTCCAGTAAAAAAAATGTTCTCAGGAGTGAGCAACAACAGCAGAACAATGACAGAAAGAACCACATCCAGCTTTTATATTTTATAGCGTGTCACACTGACATATCACAAACACTTTTAAAAAAATGTGCTTGAATTAAAATCAAGGCCCTCACTTGGCATTAGAACTGGGTTGCTCCAGTACCTGAAATGCACTGGTACATCCACCACTTCTGGTGCAATGAAGCAGACTTATCTTGAAAGCTGGAAATGGCCACATGAGCAAAAGCAGCTGTGTTAGCACCTCTTACCCCCTGCTCACTGCCCAAGGGGCAGCACAGGGGAAGATGAGTGCCCCCAGGACTTCACAGATTCAGGGCACAAGATATTAACCTGCTTTATATAAAACAACCTTTTCCCTCAATCATGCACTCTCTAGTAAAACAGAGACACTTCTAGAAGGAGAAAGCAGCAATTAGAAGTGTACTATTTTTTTACCACCACCTCAAAGGTGTTGTGAAACTTAATTGATCTGTGGAATATTCTTTGACACAATGGAGGATGTTATAAGGATTAATTATAATCGACAGCAGCACTCAAAGGATAATGTGGGAAACACAGCAAAATGGGTTTTGCAGCTAAAAGCGTAAAATGCAGCCCAGAATTGTATTGATTCTGCACTGGAGAAAGATACAGCATAGTCAGTTTGGGGGAATTACCTGACAGCACTGCTGTAGCAAGGGAGACATGAGAGAAACATTTCTCTGGGTAATACCCTGGGAAAGGGAAGAAGCACAGAGAGGTTTCTGGTGGTGAACTCTCCCTCCCTGCAGCAGCAGCAGGAGAAGCTCTGTGTGGGGAGGGCAGTGCCTGCCATGGGATGGGGCACATTGACCAGGGGAGAAGGGCATTTGCTGCAGGACTGAGTCAGGACTTTTGTGTCAGTGAGATCCCCAGGAGCACAGCTCTGCTGGTAGAATTCCAGCTGTGCTGACACCCATTTCTCCAGCCAGGTGCATCTCCCTCCTTTCCCTTACTGAAGGGAGGTGCCTGGGGGCTTCATCAAGAACCAGTGAAGGAGAAAGGGATGGGGACTAAACTGCATGTGGTACAGTCAGTCTTCCTCTGCCTTATGCATCTTTCTCCCCTGCCTTAAGGTCAGCATATATTTATATATATTTATTTATATATACATATGTGCACAATGCAATCAGGTCACATTTGAAACAGTTTCCTGAGCAGCCAGCTGCAATTTCCAGGAAAACTGACAAACACAATAAACACATAAATTCAAACACAAATAGAACCATAAATAAATATACAAGCATAAATGTATATATACAGGCATAATGAGAGAGACAAGGAGTTTCAAATGACACAGAACACATCCTGTCTCTGAGTGTTCCACCTCTCCCAGCAGGATGTTTCTTTGATTCAGGTTCTTAAGCAGCACCTCAGCCCTGGTCTGACATGTAAGTGGGGAAACCTGCATGGTACCTGCAGAAGTATTTCTATTTTTCTTACAGCTCATGTCTTCTGCAAGAAAGAGTCACACCAGGCCCCGAGAACAGAAATCAAGAATAGATTTGCTGCTCAGAAGAAACAGGGGGGAAAAAAGACAAGATGACAAGCTAATGCTCATCTAGAAAGGCAGAGCAAATACGGATGCAGAACAACTGTCTGATGCCCTGTGGAAGTAAATTTCTGGAACAGGCAGGACACTCATCAAAACCTGGACAAATAAAAGCAAAACTGTTTTGTTACAGGCTCCTGTGAACCAGAAACTGAAAAGATGGCTATGAGCAGTCAATAAACACTCACCAGTTTTATTATTACTTGGCAGCATGGTTTATAATGAAAGACTTTACCTCCTGAGCTCAGGTGGATTTCTTCCCAGACCAGTGAGGGCCCAGACTGGCTTCATCATTATTGCTACTGCAGACCAGCACGGGGCCTGACTTGCACGTGAGATGGGCACACACAGTCTCAGATAGAAGCAGCAGCACAAAGCACTTCACTGGGGGCACATCAAGCTCTAATTTATGTCCACGAGCAAGGCACTGGCGCTCTCTGGAGCAGCTGATGCAGCGCATGTACATGCACATCCCTACTGGTACCAAGCTAAGGCATATTAAAGCAGTAAGTGAGAACATATGCAACAATGAAATGCACCACTGCTGCTGGAGGAAGATAAAATGGAGAGCTGTGCAGTGCTTGGCTGGGTGAGGCTGACTAATGACTCTAATGTTAGTGGCTGCTGATCAAGAAATCAAATGCAGAGCAGTCCATCATAATCACAGCAGGTGAGGGAAGACAAGTCAGAGCCAGAGTTCAGAATACCAGAAACCTTCCTTGCTGTTCCAAAACCCAGGGAAAAAAAATACAGCATGCATTAAAAAGCCCAGCTTGTTTCAATGCATAGTCAAATTCATTAGAAGCCCTCTGAAACAGATCCTTTGTTACACAGTGTGTTGCCAGATGATAAGGACATTTTTGGGCAGAGTGTTCGCAGGAACACGAATGGAAAATGACGTGATGGACACAGTGTGTCAAATAGCAATCCTCATTTAAATCTTCACTTTACAGACGTCTTCCATCTCAAATGTCAAACATGGAAAATGGATTGCCTGCAGAGGCCAACTTGGGGAACATCAATTGTTCTGAAGTTCAGAGTATTAATGTGGGGGAGGAAAAGAACTGACTTTAAAGTGCATCAGAAATCTTTATAGAATCGGACACCTTGTTCTTGCTATTTCTTTACCTTTGTTAGCACTTCAAGGCCACGTCCCCTTTGTCACTTAGCTTACAACAGCTGATGTGGCATTTCATGGTGCACAGTTGACATGACTGCCCATGAATGACCCACTGGCATGAGGAATAGTTGCTGCTCTTTCCTAGCAAGGCTGAGTAGAATCACACCACTGTCAGTGTTCAAGAAATTAGAGGATCAGGCTTCAAACAGAAAACATTCTTAGGAAAGAAGCACATCTGTTGTGTAGTCCCAGAAGGAAACAGGAGTTGGACCCTGCTTTCCAAATGCCTCACCCAATTCTGCACATTGATGATATTTATTCATACAGTGCAAACAGGAGAAATGCCAGGGCTCTGATCCTCACTGATACCAGGGTACACATGTTCTTTTATGCTGAAAATCTCTAATCCTTTTGGAGATCTGGCAGAAAGTATTCAGCTACATCAACCACAAAACTAATCACAGGGTTATTTGTTACCAGCCTTTTGTTTCACAAAACACACACAGAGGCACAAACCAAACCCACTGCTTGCTGAAAACAGGGTCAAACAAAACCTTAGGTGGCACAGTGGTAGCAAGGACTAAATGGACTTGCAGTTTCCATGCTGATGAGCAGCTTTGCAGTGTCATGAATGCACTGGACAGACACATGGATTCAAACAGCACCAAAGTGCACAGTTTCTGTCTTGCAAAGTGGACTGAAACAGGGATCATGGTTGCAATATGTGATTTGGAAAGCTGGTTACAAAACCAAAACCTGTACCAAACCAAGTCACATCTGCGATTTTTTAAAAAAGTTTGCTCACTAGCCTGACTTTGCTTTCCTTTTGAAAACACACTTTAAATATTCCACAGCTAGTAAGTCCCCACCATGACCACTTTCAAATCTCATTCCTAAGGACATTGACTTTGCCTTCCTTTTGAAAACACACTAAATATTCCACAGCTAGTAAGTTCCCACCATGACCACTTTCAAATCTCATTCCTAAGGACAGACTTCCTGGTTGTTTTCATCAATAACACTCACACAGTCACTCTTTCCACTACCATAATTACACTGGCAAATCACTTAAAAGCCACAAAATCACATTATATTTCCACAGGCAGGAACAACACAACAGCCAAATGCTTTAGCAAATCCATCCAGGTGCTACAGCTTCAGAGGCCCCTCAGCACACACTGCAGTGTGGCCATAAAGGGGATGCCCTGCTCTCCTGAATCCCTGCCTTCAAAGAACTTGTGTTCAGGGAGACATGGAAGTGTTCGTGGTTCCATGTGGATATCTCTGCAGTTTAGGGCATGGAATTGTTAATTTGCAGAAGAGATGCTAAGGCGGTGGCAGTGTGTCAGTGCTCCTGATATTTGCCAGCCAGGGTTGGGTGTTCTCCTCCTCCTGCTGCTTGTCTCATTGTCTCTGGGCAGTTTATGCACTGATGAACTGGAGGGCTTCTCCATTCAGGCTCAGAATAAAATCACTGCTCTTGGGAGCCAGCTACTCATGTGCATCAGATTTTAACCCTGCTCAGTGCTTGAGTTTGGATTTGTTCACTCCTGTGTCAGCCAAATTCAGTGCCAGTGTGGCACCAGCAAGAGCCTGAATGTAAATCTGAAGGAAGTCCATGGGAAATCAGGTCCTTTATTGCTGAGGTTTAACCTCTTAGTTCAGTCTTATCTGTTATGTGATCATTGTCTCCAGAATAGAAGATACTAAAATACTGGAGCAATCCATGGGAAAATTACTGCAATGATTTCACATATAAATTGTGAGTCATGAAGTGCACAAAACCTTTCAGGAGTGAAAGCTTTGGATGATTAATTTTCCTTTATCAATAAACTTTCTCAGGGCTGAGTGAAACAGGTATAAAACATCTGCACTTTTAAAACAATGTGAGGCGAGCAGGGCATGTTATCCAGGAAAACTGATTTCCTAAGTAATTACTTCCCTGCTTATTGAGGTTTCAAGACAAGCAAAAGGTCAGTGATGATGGACTGTGCTGTCCTGCAGTAAATAAGGTTAATATTACTGTATAGCTCTGTTTTGCAGTCACAGAGCATGAGAATGAACCTGAATACAATTTGCAACACTTGCTCAAATACAGATTAAAATATTACTCTTCATGAGGGAAGGATCCTGTGAGGTGGCCCCATCCCTCTGGTCACTTAGAAATGTGATCACTGTGTCAGTGTCTTTTCACTTCCAAAAGACCACTGGCATTTTTTAAGGTGGTTGTGTTGTTGGAAGTGCTTGGCTGAACTTTTCAGGATCTGGCAACTCAAGCTTTGCACTGGAAGGGAAGTACATGAGCTCCTCTGCCAGAGCCCACACTGGGACCATACAGAAGAGTTTTGCTTTAAGATGATGCCAATATACATGAAAATGAAGATGACTTTAAGCTGGTAATTTGTGTCCTTCTTAAGAAGTCTTAAAAATAAGAGCATCCTAAAGTGCATACTTAGGCTTCAAATTTTTTAGCATTTATTTCTGGAGTTGGTAACAGCAGTACCCTTTATCCAGCACAATATGTCCCAGAGGAGCTGTTAGACAAGCATCTGCACTGGAGATGAAAGGCTAGGAGATGTGAATTTTCAAATGGAGGGGAGAGAAAGCCCTTTGCACATCAGTTCCAGTTTTCCCACTGTAACAATTCTCAGAAACACCTTCACAATTCCTGTAATGGCCTTTCCTCAGAAAATTCCATTTCTGTAATGTACAATGTTCTCTTGTAAGGAAAAGTAAATTGACACACTGACTACATGGTCTGGTGTGGGTTCATTTTAAAATTCAACCAGTACAAAAACTTTGAACATGTACAAAGTTCTCAAGAAAAACCCCCAAAACAACAACAACCAACCAACCAACCAAACAAACCCTACCAACCAAAAGAACCCCAAAAAAACCAAAACAAAAACAAAAAGAAACAAAACAAACAAACAAAAAAAAACCCACAAAGAAAAGAAAAAAAGAGCAGCTCTCAAACACAACTCCTAGTGATGCTCCTGGGAAGCTCTGGTTTCTGGTTTGGACTGATGACCAAGACTGCTGCCCACAGAACAGGAGTTAAAACAGCCTCTTTGTAATCACACACACTATTCCTTTGTTTCTCATGCACACCATGGGCCAGAGTCCACTAGAAAATAAAAGGTTAGGTGCAAAGGATCCTGCTATCCTACTAATGGCCAGAGTACTTGTGTACATTGTGGGGCAGCTCTGAAAGGCAGCACACACTTCCACAGCTACTGTGGAGCCATCAGTTTTCCCTAGTCTCATTTTGTTATTCCTGCACAAAGCCTGCAGCCTCATTTATAGTGAATATTTTTGCCCCCGACGAGGGGGAGAGATGAATGCCTCTGACTCCTTCTTATCAGAAGGCTAATTAATTACTTTATTATATTATATTATTCTATACTTTATTACGTTACATCTAAACTGAATCTGCCAAGCACTCAACTGCACTTCACTGCACAGAATCTCATGACTGTCAGCCAACAGCCCCAACACACACACAGGACAGGCCAAGAAAACAAAAGCCATCACTTTGGGCAAACAATCTCCATATTGCATTCTACTTGGGCACAACACAGGCACAGCAAATACGATAAGAGTTGTGTTTTCTTTCTCTCTCTGCGGTTCAGAGAATGTGAAACCCAGAAATATTCTTGGGAAGAATTGTGCCTTGCTTTTCTCTGTGAAGAGAAACATGGCTACACTCGTTCACCTAAATTCCCCCCCGGCAGACGGCCGAGACGGAAACATCAGAAGTGACAGCACAGGGGAGATTTACCTGATGGGAGCTGACTCATCCCCTTTATCAAGCCAGTCCTGTGGTGGGATTATGTACATGCACCAGAGCCCCCAGTTGTAGCCATGGGCCGCGTTGGCGTACTGCTGCACTTCGAAGGTGTTGTACTTGATGTTGTCGATGGCGGGCAGGATGATCCGCTTGCGATCCTCCTTGATCCGCGTGAGCGCCGGTTCCGCCCTGAGAGCAGTGAGAACAGCACAAGGTTTGACAGCCATCCTGTAATCCCAGGGCATGCTTTGCAGGCTGATAAAATGAGGTTTTCTAAGGCTGTGAGCATTAGCACAGTGAGATGGAAAAGCCAGAGCGGGGCAGGGAGAGATGGGGTACAGATTGCAGCCGCACGCTGCAGGGCTGCAGCTGGTGTGGGACACTGCACGCAGCACCTGCACAGGAATTACCACCTCTGTGAAGCTGTGCCAGGGCCTAACAACACAAAATTCGACCAAATACTTATTCTGAGGCCTGGAGATTGTTAATTCATTTCACAATGGAGAAATGTTGAGAGACACCATCACCAATAGCAGCTAAATGGTCTCCTACTGGCTACACCACCAGGATTTCTGGCAGCAATTAAATTCTGGCTGGCATGCCCTGAAGAACTAAACACACACCAGGGGCTGCAAGAATCTGAAGGTTATTCAAAGATTTTAATCCTGTTTCCCAAGACTGACCCCATCACATCTAGTTTGAATGACAAATGTGGCTGCATTATGCCTTCTAAAACCTCTTTGGTGATGAGAAGATTTCAGGTGCCAGATGGTGCAAAAGCAGCAAACTGCAGGAAATGTTCAATCATTTCAAAAGGCTTTAAAACATCAATGTGCTTTCCACAGAAGCTACATCCCAAAAGGAAAGTAAAAAGCTTCAGTGCAAACACTCATTTCTGACCAAGGTAGTCTGAGTTTGCTATGAATTCATAGAGAATCTGATCCAAAGAGGTAGCAGACTTACACAAGGGTGGAAATCATTCCTCAAAGCAGTATTAGAAAGAGCCACTGGTTCACTCCTTTGTGTGTTTCTCCTTGAAATGTGCTTTGAAAATTTTGCAGAGCTCTCACATGGATCTTTAAGGGAATGGTGGTTTGCTGCAACTCACAGAGGTAGGAGGATTTGAACACTGATCTTTTCTCACTTTCTTTTGCTGTTGGTCAGAAGACAATTACTCCTTTGTGGTTTCAAGTGTTAGCTCATATTTTGCCTGTTACCATAAATGTTCTTTTAGGCCAGCAGAAGATACTGTACATGGTTCAGACTCTCAATTCATATGGGTTTTAGGCCACACTTGTGCACCCCCACAGAACCAGTGTGACCTACCAGATCTGGGTAAGCCACTTCCATTATTAGTATGAGATTATATTTATGAGATTAAGCCTTTTAAAAACCAGTGGGTGGGTAGCAGAAGAACTCTTGCAAATCTGACAAAGAATGGAAAAATGCAGAAAAGCTGAATCTGCTTTGTATTTTCCATCATGTTATCTCTGCTCAGCAGCAGAAGAAAATACAGAAGGATGGACTTGCCATCACTAGTCTGGTGACTCCATGCCTGGACACAGTAACCCTTGGGTATAAAGCTCTCCTTCTCCCTCTAAACTCTAAAACAAAGGATTTTGAAACACCAGACAACAGGTACAGGTGTCACTCATTGTTTGCTTGACTCCCATGGCTCGAACAAATTTATTAAGTCTGATTTCCAGACCTGCTCTGCAAAGCAGGAAAGCTGCTTGCACGCCTTCTGAAGCAAAAATCTGAAACTGGGTTTCCTTTGCAAGAATCTAACTCTGTCATTCACTACTGTTTGATTCTGGAAGCAGGTCTTTGACAAACAAGGAAAGACTGGGAGTTTTCCAAACTACTTTTATCTCTCTTGGTGGGAATTCTTTGGTCACCAAATCCTCAAGTCCCCAATTAATGACATGTTTATGTTGATACAAAGCAAGACTGTTAATCATCATACTCAAAACTATCCTGGAGGTTCCATGTCCCTTCTACAGTTCCTCCTGGGGTGCTCATTTTCCAAGTATTTTACTTTGTAGGGTAGATTGAGATTGTGTAATAGAAAAGCTGAAAGAAGATAAGGATTTCTTCTCCCTTAATGTCAGATACCTGCAGTGGACCCCCCATATGCACAGTAATTGCCTCAAACTTTCATTCTCAGCAGAGAGAGGCAGAGACTGGCACTTTTATAGTCAGATGCTTCTCATGATAATGTAGACACTGAAACTGGGTGAGATTAATAATGTTCCAGAGGAACCTATTTTGAATATAAAGGGAATTTAGCCTGCTACTTTGCAAGACATCTTAAAATTGGATTGCTGAAGTGTATCCCAAATAATGGTTAGAGAAATAATATGAAGAAAATATTCAACAGTCACACTAGTTTCCAGCCCTTAATCATATTTGTGATTGTGTTAATCCAATGCTTGAGTCTTGGAAATGCTAACCTGGGACCTAAATTTCTTCTTTACACGGAGAACAATCCATTCCCAGCTCTGGAGCTCCTCACACACAAACTATCACCAAACTACTCCTGTCACTCTATACCTGAGAATTTCTGTGTTTTCCCATTTGTGTGACACATTTATTACCACCTGACCTGGTGTTTTGCATCTGAATGGCACAAGGTGGGGGATTTGGAGTGTAATACAATAGCTGGGGTCAAAATACATGATGAAATTCCATTACTTTCTATCAACCTGTTGATGTGAAATCACAGATTCTGAACTTTCATGAAATTTAAGACACCTGTCTTGGTGATGGATGTTCTGTTTAAGTCCCCTGCACTCAAGAAATGTAAATATTTAAGATATTATTGCTTCAACAAGAGTTGATTTCTCTCCCCTCAAGTAACAGATGAAGTCAAGTGCCATGCCAAGGTTATGGAGTCAATTGGTATGAAAGCAACTGCTGGAACTTCATATTCTAAAGACACCTCCTGTCTCACCCATGGAGGTGATTTCCTAGCTCTCTTGGTACCCAGATGTGTGGAAATCACATCCCTGAATGTGTTAGGAACAGGAAATATTGAGTATCTGGACAGACCGCACAGCCACCAAATTTCCAAAATATTTTCACACCCACAAGTAAGAAAGTCGGATCTGAGTCACAGACAGAAAGAGAAAATCCAGGCCAGAGCTGTTCTCTCAGCAAAAACGCAGAATGGAGAGCCTTTTAATTAAACATTGCACACCTGAGAGATTTCACAGCCTGTCCTGCCCTATAATAGACAGCAATGGGGTATTCAGAGGCTCAGCCCAAGCTCATCTCTGTGAGATGTGCAGGAACACTCAAATCCCAGACCCTGCCAGAGCTCTCTCCCTGCCAGCACTGCTGGTGGGCTGTTTGCCTGCCAAGATCCCCAGGTAATGGCCAATAAAGGAGGACTGGGAGTTTGAACAGGACTGGGCAATGCACTGTGTTTGCATTGCTTATCTTGAGTAATCCATGGAATATGAGAGGGTTTCATTGCTATTCATGGCTAGCAAAGCCCAGCCTCAGAGTTATGCTGAGCTGAGCTGCACATTCATCAAATCCTTTGTCAACCTTCCTGGTCACTCTGGCTTTATGTAATTGCTTCAGATTATAAAAAGAATTATGATTAAATCTTTCCAGGTAATTTCTAAATTTTTTTTCATCAGCATTCTTTCCATGTTTTTTTTTTCACTTTGCCTTGTTTTTTCTGCTGTCCATCTGCAGAAGTCAGGTGCTTCTGGCAGCTCACAGGACTGAAAGGATAAGAGGGGAAAAGGTTGCTGCAGTCCAAGGATGTCCAACACACTGAGCTGATGAGCTGCAACATGTGCTTGGAAGATTGCCTTTCTACATGGCCACTGCTGGCAGTGAGGCAGGATTCAGCCCTGCCTGATTAGGTGCATAAGCCAGATTTGGATTTTGGGATCCATCTCCATTTTTCATTTTCCAGTGCAAAAATATTAGGTTCCTAGTTTGCATCTGGATCAAGGTACTTTATGGGCAAAGAGCAGCATGCATTGTTAACAAGTTATTTACTGGAGCAAGAGGGAAAGTTCTCCCAGGCATATTCATAGACATGATGGATTTCAGTAAACTAAATATAATCAAAAGATTCTGCTTTAAAGGTAGTCCTTCACATCACCCAAGTGGGGCTTTTTTTCCACTTAATAAAAACCAAACAGACAATTTGGACTGGAATTGAGTGACATATGAAGATCCTCCCCCTTCCATCCTCTTTAAAACTAAGTATTTGTCAGTGTCCTCCTCTCTCTCTGAATAGATTGTTGGTAAACAGATAAAACCAGAAGAGAAAGGACAATAAATTTAGTTCTCTTATAGACTCCACTAGGCTAAAGGGTATTTTCAGTTCAATTTTAGTCACTTTGATTTGTCCAAGTCAGTTGAGCACATCACTAAACAGCACATGCCTTCAATGCTTTTGCCTAGCAGTGGAAAGATTTCTTCATTAACAGCGGATTTTCTAAGGTGTTGAGCACCCATGATGACTTTATTGGGAGTTCCAGCAATGCTGGTTCTGTGGGATTCAAAGAGTAAATGCTTCCAAGATAAACACTGGAGGTAGGAAGAGAGTTGGAAGACAGAATTTAAGCCAGAGTATAGAATAAGCCTGTAAGAAGATTGAGAGCAAAGGCAGGGGCCATACTGTGATCACATAGGCCTCTCTAATCCTATTGTAAGTCTATCTCTGAACATATATGCATTTTGTATTTAACACTGGCTTGATTCAGAGCAGCTCAAACCCCACGGGAAACCACAGCAAACAAAAACTCTGTGTTGTCTTACATCCTTATCAGATTGCTGGAGAATTCATGCCAAAGGGAAAGCCTGGTTTGTCACAATGCTAAAAAGAACAGCTTCTTCCAGATAAAAAACAGATAAAAAGAAGTTAGTAATGAGCTCCTCGGTGCACATGATAATATAATTCACCTTTTTAAATATGTAAAAACACCTGCTGGCTTCAAGCAGACTTTTAAAAAGGCACAACGTCAGAATAAATGCTCACAATCCAAGGGAATCCACATGCATGCCACAGGCCAGATCCTCTGCTGCCCAGCTCTGGCACTTCAATGGCTTTCACAGCTTCAGGGATGCTTTGCTAACATGCAGCACCTGAGAAGCAGACCTTACCTTCCAGTACTTAGAATGGCTGTACGAGCATTTGTCAATAAATTCCTCCCTGCAGCCCAAATGTCACTTTTTCTAAATTTTTTCAAAAGTTAATCCTTTCCTAAATGGCAGGAATTGTACTGGGAAATGTCTCTCCAATTCTGCCCTATCCCAGGTGGGTATATACCCTGATCTCTGAGTTCTTTTGAGATAAACATGCCTCTTTTTTTTTTTTTTCTTCTTCTTCACCATCACTATCCTACTTTTTACTCCAATAAAAAATGAAGAACTAACTAAAAAAAAATCCAATCTTCTTTGTCCTGCTTTCACAAATCAGAATTTCCTCTTCTTGCAAGCAGTTAGAAAAGAGTTCTTATAAGACATAAATGAAAGACAACATGGTCTCATCTGCTAGATTTTATGGCTCACTGGATTTAACACCATATTTTACTCTGGCTCTACCACTGTCAGGTACCATGAAGCATAAACTTAACAGAGAAATGTAAGAAAAAAGAAAGCTGTGTAAACTGAAAGCTTATTTTGCATGATTTTGCACGCTACCTCACATTTCACTGACAATATACATTTATCAGATGCAGACAAGCAGATCTACTGACATACATAATTCTTCACTGAGGCCATCTGCAGAATATTTAATGAGGAATGCCTTTCCTATAAAGAAGTGTTCAGATAACTAAAAAAGAAATCAATTTCATTCTCCCTTTCTCAGTCTTTAAGAGAACTTCCCCATCTGTCCTGCCTGACATCTCTGTCAGCATTCCCATGTGTCCAGGGAAGTTTCAGCCCCACAGTCCCCAGCTGGAACAGAGGGAATGCAGCACCAATGCCTGCTGGAGAGTTAAAGATCAGCTCTTTGGCTGCCAAACCTCAATGGCTCTTTTCTGCACCACTGAAAAGCAACGAGGGTGCTTCAGTGAACATTCTAGGCTGAGGCAGATGAATAGTTGAAGCTGCTTTTCTGGTACATCCTCTGCATGTAGGCTGGCACCCTGCCATGGATCCCAAAGGCCCACGTGGCTTCTGCTGCATGCTCCACTCAGATTATATTGGTTTTCTATGAAAAACTTGTATTCCATTACGTTACCAGAGTGATCCTAAGGCTGTGGATGAGGAAGAACTCCCTTAACAAACACATGTCCTTCCCTTTTCACTTGGGTTTTTCTGGTCAGCCTCAGCCCAGTGATGCTCAGTGAACCATGTCCTGAGCATGAGAGATGTGCTTGAATGCTCCAGAGAGGAGAGAGACTGCACAGAAGGACTCAAAGGTAATTTCACCTCCACCACTTCTCTCATTTAGAAGGAAAGAGCCACCTGGACCTTGTCATGTCCCCAGAGAACCACCTGAACTGGGAAAAGGGGGACAGGGAGTTTACCTGCAGGTAGAGATTGGCTTCCAGTACCCTGCATGAAAATGTTACCAGGGAGCTCTCGGGGTGACAAAGACCCTGTGGCTTTGCCCCAGGACAGCACAACCACATCTCTGTTAGAGAGTACTTGGGACAACCAAATTCAGCAGAAGATTAGAAGGAAATCAGCTTCCCTTCTCCTTTACACACCTTTTTGAGAATCCATTGCTTATGGCCACCACAACAAACTACATTACACCTTACAGTATAAAGTAGCATGTGCAAAGTATCATCCTGAGGGATCTTGATCTTTAGCTCTTCTTAGTTTATTAAAACCAGTTTTGTATATTTTTAAAACACTGGCAACTTCAGGGATTATCCATAAAGATGGGATGTGTGTGACAGAATCTGATGGATATTCAACTTATATTTCATGGTTTCTTTCTCATGTCAGGCTCTGTCTGGCTGGTATGTTGAAATCTTTTGATTAAATCCTCTTCCTTCACTGCTTCCTTATTGAAACTCACCCTTTGTCTGGCAAAATTTTAATTACTACAGGACTGCATAACTCCATTCAGTGCTCTGATAATACCTCTGTGATAGGAGCAAAAGCAATTCCTAAGATAGAATGCAACTATAATACTCTATCATTATGTCTTCTTTTATGGCTCCTAGCACCCTCTTTATGGCTGCTAATATATTGTGGTTTCTGCCTCTCACGTACTGATTTCTGCTCTCCTTCACTCAAAGTGTCCTTTTTCTCACCCAGAGAATTAACACCCTATCTCTGTAATCTCTTTCCTGCTCCCAGACATAATGTAGGGAAGGTCCCTTCTCCTTCTCATGTTATTCTTTCCCATCTCTCAAAGACAGGGGTTTATACAATGCTCTGCATGTTCTGCAACACAATCAGCATCCAGGATGTGCTGCTCTGCTCTCAGGGTGCCTGGGGTGCCTTCAGGCATGCTGGGTGAACCTAACCCAAGAGTCAGAGCAGGAATGCTCTAATCTTCAGAGGACTGAAGGAAAACTGAACTGAACAAGCTTAACTACACCCCCAGAGAGGAAAGCAAAGCAGCTTTTCCTCCCTCTTGGCTCTGCTGGGTTGCTGACTCCCATTGACACCAAGTAACCATTAAAAACAGGCCAGGTTCTACTCCAACAGGACAGGTAGAATTTTAGAAATGAAATGTACACATATGTTACCCTGTAATTCTAGTTTAAAATTCCATTTGAGAATTAATAGCAATGGCCTCCCTTTCAGGCAGTCCTCTCCACTTCCACTCTCACAGCAGCTGTATTGGCTCAAACTATCAGAAGCCTTAAGGGGAACAGGTCAGTTGAAAATCACTGCTCTGAGATAACATATTTCTACACCCAAGAAGCCAAAAAGCAGCAATTAAGCACAGCAAAATAAATAATTCAATAGCTAATTTGACCTGCCAGGTTGCAGAGTATTTTTTTATATCCTACCAGATTGTAATTTAGTTTAGAAGAAGTGTCCCTGGAGAGCAATGCTGTGAGAGCCCATAAAATGCTATAGTATGATATCAGGCAATAAGCCACCTGTAAATGGGCCACTATTGTTTAAAGAAGTTTTTTTTTGTTGTCAGTCCTGCATATTTCATGAGAAAGTGAGGAAGTCCTTCTTTGATTCTTTATGAATTAATCTGCCAACTGATTAGGCAGGTAAAGCAGCCATAGATTGGGAAACTAAATTGCACTGCAGGCACTTGACTTTTAGATGGAACACAAACCAAACAGAAAGCTAAATGCTCTTTTCTGTGGCAAAGGAATTGGCTTCTTTTTAATTGCCTCACAAATAATCCATAGACAGCTTTTAGTGGGAGCAATCCATGTGGCCTCTGAATACATAAATAAGCATTGAAAATGGGGGGAAATATTCAGGCAAGGTGCAACTTAGTGGGAGAATAGAACAGCAGAGCCTTAACAAGAGACTCCCACCTGATTCCTGAGTTTGTAGGGCTGTGGAGCGGGGGCAGTGCTAACCTGGTGGGAAAAAATAGAGCAGTCCAGATGGAAGGACTTCAGTCCCTCCCAGTCAAAGGAGATGAGATGAAAATGGAGATGACAGGCAACCCCATGTGCACAGGTGGACAGAACTAAAACTAGGAGGAGTGGCTGGAGCAGGGGTTGAGATGGCTCTGAGCAGCCACAAGGGTTGAGTGGAGCAAGAGGAGAAACACCAGCAGGGAACACTCTGAGCCCACAGGTGCAGCTCTGAAATGAAGGGGCACAGGAGGCTCCTGGAGCATGTTTCCGTCCCCACTGAACACCGAGTGCCCCACAGCAGGGCCAGAGCCTGGCTGAGACCCGAGAGCTCTGCTGGAAGGAGGGTGCACCAGGCAGGGGGCAGAAAACAAAAACCTTTTGTCTTGGATATACACACTCTCATTTACTGAGCACTCCAGGTTCTTGCTCTGCTGATTTCAACCCTTTCTGACATCAAGGCGAAGCAGTACAGTAAAAAACCAAACCCTAACAAACCCCAAAGCAACCACAAAGCCCTTTCCTGCTTACTGACACCACTGCTGATCTTCCCTGGGTACAGTACCTCAGTCAGATCTCAATGTCTTTATAAAATGATAACAAAATTCTCCTCAAGCCCCAGAAAACTGCAGCTTGGGCAGGACAAGCACGGGGGACAGCACCCAGAGCATGCTCTCCCCAGGCCCTGATCCTGTCCCATAGCTGGTATTACCCTAGAGGAATGTTTGAAAAAATTTGAAAGATCTACTTGCTTTAAAAGCAAATAAATAAATTAAACCAGCTCTTAAGCTTCTAGAAAATTACTACAGCTGCTATTATAGTCTAACATAGTCCTAAGGAATAAAAATGGGATGATCATAAAACAGGTGCACTACAAGACTTATTTTATTGCATCTTCCATTTTATAAAGATATTCATGAACATATAAAAATAAACACTCTACTCCTTTGCAATTAAGTTTCTCTCTAGTTGTAAGTACAGCTATTTTTAGTTTTAATTTGAGGATATCTCCCAGAATTGCAGAGCATAATCATTTCCACCATAACTCTGCATCATCGTTATCAAATACCAGCCTATCTTTGGAAAATGCATGTTTTACATGCTGAAGGTCCCAGAAGTCCTTTTGCAACTGATGGTACAGATCAGCTCCTACAGTCCCAACTTCCAGTAATGCCAAATATTGGCCACCAAGTGGTGCTACAAAGGTTTATTCCAAATGCAGTTCTGGCCCATTAAACCAAAAGGCGATGGGGAAAGTCATGCTAATTTCAAGCCCTATTAAAATTGCAGGCAATAATTTAATGTTTCCCTCAAATGTAAATGCAAGAAAATTTATGAGGAAATCAGACTGGTATTCAAGTTTCTAAGAAGAAATGATAGAAAATGACAAGGAGGTAAAAGAAGCACTTGCAATCCTCCAGCCCAGAGCCTCCTTAACGGTGTCTCCCCATCTGACTGCTTTGGGATTTCACAGCCATTGTGGTTCCAATTAATTCTCTCTCCATAGAGCCATGCTAGACCAGGCACAACAGATGTTTTATGGCCTTGCAGCCATTGCAGGAGCCTGTCAGCAATGCTGCAATAATCAGGAGCACAATTCAGGAGTGCTTGCTGAGGTGATCCCTGCAGCTGAGCACAGACAGCCCTGTCCCAGTGCCACCGCCCCTGTGGGCACAGCCAGCACTCACCAGCCAGTGTTGAACTCCACGTGGGCATCAAAGAAGCCCACCACAGATGTTGAACTCCACATGGGCATCAAAGAAGCCCACCACAGGGGATGTTGCTGCTTTCCAGCCCTGGATCCTGGCTCGGATCAGCCCCTCGCGTTTGTTGTTGCGCACGATCTTCACCAGGCCTGGGTACCTCTTATGGACATACTGGTCCAGGTTAAACTTCAGCTCCACTGCAGGACAAAATCAAAACACACACAAGCATTTAGAATCAGAAAGGCCCTGCAATGTTGTGTTTATTCTGCAGCAGAAAGGGAGAGGAGTCCTTATACATTCCCAAACCCCTGGTGAGTCTGACAGATACAAACCCAGTACCGCAGCCGAGGCGTGGAGCAGTTCCAGTGGTTTCAGCCCAGAGAAATTCTGCACACACCAGAGACTTGCCCAGCTTTAATATGGCCTGATTTATTTGAGTATCGTGTTGAACAGTTAGTTTGTCTACATATTTTTTAAAAAATTACTATTCTGACTCTCTGATGATTTGTATTAGGTTACAACTGGCCTCTGGAAGAGCAATTCTACCATAAGCAAGTGTAACATGCCAGTCTGGTGATCTTTTTTTTTCTGATTTATGCTGTACAGTAGGAGTTAGAAAAATAACCTCAATGGATTTTGGGTCAAGAAGTAATTCAGATCACAATTAATTTCCCTTAATTTTCAGGGTTTTCCCTTAAATATAATTAAGATTCTTCAATACCAGGCTTCTTTCCTTTTTAACTAAATGGATATTGAAGATCTCAAATAGACTTCTCTTTTGTTCATTTTCAGGCATTCAATCACAGATGGAGCAGAACTCATTCACCCTTTTTCAGCTTTCATTTCAAGAGGCTTATAAACAGGCAAATTACCAAAATGGTCTCTCTATATTTTTTTATTTTAAATCAATGTAGTTTGGTAATTCATTTGCACTGCAACTTATTCACAAAGTGGCTTTTGCCTAAATATCTTTATCAGAAAAACTAGTAGAAGCTTCCAGGACATTAGCAGCCTCATTTTTCTGATCTATATTAGACAGTAGAATCATTATCATTAGAATCAAAGACTTGATAAATCTCCAGTTATTTAGAAGAGTGGCAGAGAAAAGCCATATAAGAGTTCACTGAGAAATGATGAGTTCAATTCTCCTCAGGATTGCCTTGACTCAAACACTTTGCAATCTCACATAATTACTCCACAGGTTACAGTGCCATAAATGAGATCTGAATTGCATAAACATTTTCTTAAACCTATAGGTTTTGGAACTTAATTTTGTTTGAGTTATCTCTTCTCTCAGCTCTTCCTTCTCTTCAGGGATCTTCAAGAGTAAGAGCAACTCAAAACTGAAAGAACTTATAGATGTTGATCTGAGGAGGAAATGCTAAATTTTAGGCTTATTGGAAATAAATATTATTTTAGAAGATGAATCAGTTCTAGAAGTGTAATGTACAAGTTTAAACATGACAACACCAGTCCCTTGTATCCTGAGAATCTTCTAACATGATTGTATTGTGAAATATGCTGATAATAGCACTCTACATGCTCACCAATATTTGGATTTTGGACTAAATAATGAAGAACCAATGTGCTGCCGTATAAAAGAGTAGCAATTATCTTTAAAGAGAATCTGTAGCCTTGCTTTTCCTGGCAGCAGAATTTAAACTTTTATTCTAATAATGATGATATTCCTCTGGATTTGGAGAAAAGTGTCCTGTTAAGGATTGCCTACATAAATGCCACTCATTCTGTTAGGATTTCAATGAAATCAACAGGCTTTATCCACATAATGTTTATTTGTTATACAAATAGTCAATATTTACTCACAGCTTTGTGCAAATGGCTCAATCAACCCTCTCATCAACAAAGACATTTACATTTCACACCTAGAAATCACACGGGGCACAGTGCTCAGAGGCAGAGTGACAGAAGCTCACCGTTGTCACTGTTGTCATCCACCAGGATGATCTCCTTGAGCAGGTGGGATGGGGTGTGGTTCACCACGCTGTGCACCGAGCGCAGGATGACAGAGAGAGCTTCGTTCACAAAGATAAACACCACCGAGATCTGGGGCAGGTCCTCTGGGTAGCTCATCTGCTTGCACCTGGAGAGAAAGACACAATTAAAACCCAAGCAGCCACTGGTAGGCAAAACAGACTGAAGAGCATCCTCCTCTCCTTGCTCTCCATCTGAGTAGGGAACTGCAGACTTTGTCCTTTTTTGATGCCTGAGTTTTTAGCTTTTATATTTTTCATATTCTGTGCTGCTTTAGTGTGTAATCCTGAGCTTCATAATAAGGGATGGTGAGCTGTCTTCACAGAGTAGGGAGACAAAACAATTCCTTCTCTACCTGGGGGCCAAGGATAAATGATCCAAATTTCAGGCCCAAGAACATAAGCAATGTGGTCTGAAGAGAGAAAAACAAGAAGGATGTAATTTCATAAGCTAAAGCTCTAATTGGACAATTAATTCCAATATGAAAATGGACCAGAACTTAAAGAAGTGTGAGACCTTGTGACCAGTCATCCATTTTGTGACCATTTTGGCTCATCTTGGGTGGGCCCTGGCTGGGTTCTTGTGCTGCCCAAGGTGGATCCATGGAGGTCTTTTAATGAATCCCTGCTTTGTTCTTTATTCTGTCTAGCCCCTGTTCTAGGTCAGCCTTCAGAAGGCAGCATTCCAACCCCAAGGAAAGCTGTGGTAAAGGCTCAAAAGAATCAGCCTGGTTAGGAGCAGGCCTCTCCATGAGCCCAGTGTAAAACACAGGGTGTGTGCATGCACAGATTTGTAGCAGTTCTCGTTCCCTGTGAGGTTAAAAGCATCTCTTGAAAACCAAAGGACTATCAATGACTCTGCTCAAAAACAACCTGGAGAAGGCCTAAAGTGGCACACCCTGGCTGTGCTCCATGGGGAACCTCCAGCAGCTCTGCTGCTAACTCACAACTGCAGCAGAACTTTAAAACCAGCATTTTGTCAAGCAAATTTTGCATTTGCCCACAGAGAGCACCTGCCACCCTTTCTGACTGCCCAGTTTGTGCAGCAGTGACAGACACATGGTGGTTGTTGCACAGGCCTGCACTTGCTCAATTATCTGCAAACAGGTCTGCTCCCTCTCAGATGTTGCCTTGCTAGGCTGCTTCATCCTCATTCACAATTGGCTTTTGTGCTGCTCACTGATAGATATATTTTACCACAGACCATTTTGAGAAGAAAAACTGAGGCCTGGAGAAGTTCCACAGCACAGAGCAGAGCTCCTGCTTCCCAAGTCCTCAGCACATGCCCTTCTGTAACACCACATTGCCTTATTTCAGTGGGATTCTCTCCCATTAGCAAAGAGGCTAGCTTTAAAAACTACCTACCTGTTCTCACTGTCAAAAAGCCATTCAGAATTACCATAGCAATTGCTGAACTTGCTCTCTAAAATACTGCTAATGATATCACAGAAAATGACTTCTCATGCTCTTATCAAACTTTCTGACCTCTATGCTCATTACTTTGGCATAACAATCACTTTTTTCCTCACTATCAGCAGTCATGGGGATAGGGCAGGTGACAAATGCTTGACTACTGAGTAACCTCTGGAAGTCAGTTATGAATTCTAGTAAAGTGCAATTATTCATAATTCCTGATCCCAGCACTATTAACTCAGAGACCTGAGCACTCATCATTGATTCCAGTGCTACCATAGCTACTTACTGGCAGGGCAGCTTGCTGGTGGCTTGTGCCACACAGAGGACCACTGTGTAAAACTTCTGGCTAAGCAGCCTTCTTACACAGCCTAAAAATAAGCCTGGAACAAGGAGAGAGGTTTTCAGGATGCATGAATGTTCTGACACAGCCCTCTCTTTTGAATTTCTTTTTTGAATGCAATTTTCCTCTTGAGCACACTGACTTATCAAAGAAGTGCATCAGGAATACTGCAGTAACAGGAAAGAGCCATCAGCCAAAAACATGGACCTTGCAAGATTTCCTGTGATGAGGGACATCTTTTACCTGGCAGCAATTTTCTCTAGAGTCCCACACATCCCAAACTGCACGTCAGGAAATCAGACCAGTCCCCAGGGAGGGGGGACCCTGCTGGTGCAGGTGAGGCAGAGGAGGGAGCCCACCCCAGCCCATCCCTCCTTGTGGGGTCCTGCAGCAGCGCTCAGAGCTGGCAGGGAAGGAGGGGGGAAGGAAAGTGTGAAACCATCTGTGATGCCTCAGGTTTTAGCTTTTATATTTTTCATATTCTGTGCTGCTTTAGTGTGTAATCCTGAGCTTTACATTAGGGGATGATGAGCTCTCTTCACAGAGTAGAGAGACAAAACAATTTCTTCTCTAAGTGGAGACCAAGGACAAATGATCCAAATTTCAGGCCCAAGAGCATAAACAACGTGGGCTGAAGAGAGAAAAACAAGAAGGATGGGACTGCATAACCTAAAGCAATAACTGGACAATTAATTCCAATATGTAAATGGACCAGAGCTTATAAATGTGAGAGACCTTGTGACCAGTCATCCATTTTGTGACCATTTTGGTTCATCTTGGGTGTGGCCAAGGTGGGCTCTTGTGCTGCCCAAGGTGGATCCATGGAGGCCTTTTAATAAATCCTTGTTTTATTCTTTAGCTCTGTCTAGTCTCTGTTCTAGGTCAGTCTTCACAAGGCATCATCTGGAGACAAAACAAGAGGTTGTGGCACAGGAGGAGGAATTACAGCAAGAATGAGAGGCCACTCAAAGCAGCACTTACTACAGAAGGGACAAGCAATTAAAGGAAAGGTGGGACCATCACACATGTCCAAAATAGAGAGGCATGTGTGGAAGGACTGAAGTTTCCTGGGAACAGACAGGGAGCCACTGAAATACTATAATACCTCAGAGAATTAGGAATTTTGCTGAAGATTTCTGAGTAAAAGGTATTTGTTTTATTGGCAAGTGAACTTAAACACCCGGGCACCCAGCCACGTGTTTCTGGTCAGACTGATACTGTAACTACAAGTGGGACTAATTCCAGTGCTTTTCTGCCATCTTCCCACTTTCATTCTGAGAAAAGAAAATCTAATTCTAGCTTTAAAACCAGCACACCTAAACCATAACCTCCTAATTTTTGATTTATTTGTTCTTCATCACATTAAATCAATGCATTATTGTCCCAAGTGTGGCTCCATGGCCTTGCTGGTTCACAAGACTTTTCATGCCTTAGTTCTCAGTGATTACTTACACTGTAGGGTATCAAGGACTGCTTTAGATAAAAAGCTGGTTTGAATTTCTTATTCCACCTGGATGAAGTAATGCCTATCACTTCTCACTGCAACCTTTGTCTGTCAGTTCTTCCCTTTTTTTTCTATTAGCAGGACATAGCTGAAAAACGGCATTTTGACAGCATTTGGAAAGAACACTCCAAACAAAATATATTGGAATATCTTTGGTAGTGCCACTGCAACAGGAACACCTAGATGGGAAAAAGCAAACCTCAGAATTTAGCAGTAGTTTAAAACCTGTCATAAATTTATTTATTGCAGTGAGGATGAAGAACAGCAAAAGCAGCTGTCCAGCTGAGCACTTTCCAAAGCACAGCAGTGATTTAAGGGTTTATTTCCTGCAGACTTCAAGTCAACCTTGAACTCCCAACTCCTTAGGTCACTTCACAAAATGAGATTGATGTGCTGAGGTAGTCAGGAGAAATTACTGGTCCACTACCAAACACTTGAGATGATGTTTGAGAGCATGAGCAATCCCAGTTAAGGTGTCTTTCCTTAAAAATCAGTGGGTGCTTTAAGTGCTTTGCTGGATTGTCGCCCGAGCTCTTCCCAAAGTGTTCTCTAATTAGACACCAGCCACAGCAATTTACAGTTAATACTTCCTTCATTCCAAGAAACTCTAACCAGAGCTTGACACTCCTAGCCAAACAGTGACATTAGCAAGCCTCACGCTGCCAAAGCACACCCATGGCTGTCGCCTCAGCCACCTTTGCTCAGCCAGAGGCTCACAAGTGCACTGCAGTGGGTCAGCCAGTGCTGCCTGTAAGCAAGGGACACCAAGAGTGACAGAGTTCTTGGAGCAGCCCTGGATTGGCCCTGGAGGAGGCAGCAAGGGACAGTTCATCATAGAGGGAAAGGGAAGGCTGTAACAAGCATGTTGACTTCCAACAAGCCAAAGGGCATCCTTGCAGAAAAGGGCTGGAGCAGCAGCCTGGACACAGAGGAAATTATCAGGCAAGAAACCTATGAGCTAATGATGGGGAAGCTTAGCACAAGACTAGCCACTTGTATTATTTCTTTTGAGAAGAAAATGACCAGAATGAAAAGAAATCAAACTGTACAAAATGCACTAGCAAGGCACACCTGTATAATCCTTCAGCCTTACTGCCAACAGAACCATAGTAAGAAAATTGGAAATCATCCCTTTTTCAACCCTGATGCTGTGCAGTGCCTGAATGTTTAAAGCTCCCAGTGCTCTGCAGGGAAAGGAGCTGGATCCCACCACAATCTCCACTTCTCTGCACCAGGTCTGACCACACTGTGAACTGTGTGAAGAAGAACAATTTCAGCAACTGACAGCTGAAACCTGGTCTTGTTAACATCCAACACTCCTGAGTTTGGGAAGAATTGAGTGTACATTTGACCTCTGTGGTAGCTAAAGGTGGTGAGAGCTGGGCAGGCATAGCTTACATTCAATATTCCTGTAATTTAAATCAGCACTCAGAACTGTCAGCAGGTCCCACAGAGTACAACCAGCAGAGGAGCCCAGGTCTCCAGGGCACACAGGTACCTGGGCAGGGACACAATGCTGATGCCTGCAGGACCAGGGATTCCAGCAAAGGCTGACAATGCCATGGCTAATCAATTCCATCGGCCAGCTGAGGATGGATTAGACCTGATATGTGAGGCAGCCCTGCAGGCTCCTTTCATACAGCATGCCAAGCATCAAACCTGGGGCATCCTGATGTTGTCTTGGGAAAGGTCTTTGAGTGCTCTCATTCTGTATTTGCTACTGCAGAGCTTGGCTGGCAACCCAGAGGTATTTACTTTCAGATAATTTTTTTCTATTCTAGAGATGATTTTTACTCATTCATTCCCTTACATTGAACTGGCTCCTTAAATGAACATTTCCCAGCCAGCCT